AACAACAACCACACACTGGTAATCTCCCATGGCAGCTTCCAGTCGCCCCCATATGGTCATCAACAGGGTTCAAAACTTTTGGGCTTGAGGCATGTTTCTATACATTTTTTTTTGGAGTGCATGTATATAAATGAACGTAGTAATTCAGTCCAGCTGAGAGGTTGCCTGAGCAATGTGAGGCTTCACTGAACGATTAGGGCCATGTTGAGTGTTGATAAGATATATAATTAATTGTGGCTGATATGGATCCAATGCTCATTTATACTGATGCAAAAATATATGCAAATGAAGTCATTAAGAGGTGGGACTTCCTCTAAGGTTGTTGGCAGAGCGGATCTGAATCATTCTTCTAGTGAAAGTGTTCTGCTGTTTGATCAGCAGCTCATGGAGGGGGTGAGGCTCACTCCCCATTTAACAGTCTCTGCTGAACCCTCCTCTCCACGCCTAACTCTGCTGCTCCAGAGTAGTCCCCATCAAAGAACCATGCAGACTGCAGCAAAGAATATCATACTGTCCAATAAATAAGTAAAAGATATATCACTCCACCACCTCAACTTCCTCTCCATGAGCATGACAATAGTTTTTCTTCTTAGATTACAACAAAAAGTACCAAAGTGGATTGTTGTGGGTGGGAGGAGAGAGCCTTGATTTCTACCCTGAGGTGGACCTCACTAACTGACTTGACAAGTTACACCAAATAACCAATGTTGGTCCCATATACCAGTCTAACTTTAAACAGCCTCTTTCACAGCCAGGCTTCGGATAGTGCCACCACAAGCATATGCAACATAGCGGTGTAACCTAAGGAGAAGCTGCTATGTATAGACTGGAGCTACTGACTGCAGCTTTCTAAAGTAGGTCAGACTGTGGCAGCCCCAATCTGAACTTCAGGTTCAGGTTGAAAAGTAGGAGCTCAATTCATAATATTAATGTTCCAGTGGACCATCATATCAAAAGCAGTGGTCTTTGAACTCTGTGAGATTTTTACATTGACATTAACCTGCAGCCACCCCAGAGGTTCCACATGTGTCAGAGGGATGAGAAATGCAACAGGTTGCTGATAGTTTGGATGAACGATCAAATTGATCATCTGATTTAGCAGTATGGCTTTAATTGAGCTGTGTAAACCTCATTAATAATAATGATAATAATAAAAAAATAAAAACGTTTTGATAAAGCCTATAGTTAGTTCTGGATCAGGTGAGTCCTGAACCATCACTTAGTTAATCTGCTATAGGTCTACACTGCTGGAGGAACTCCCATCATCCACTGAGCACTTCTCCCCTTCTCTCTTTCTCTCTGCCCCCCCACACTCATTTATTTATGTTAATACATGTCAATAACTATATTTCTTTTTTTCTCCCATAGTCCCTCTCTCTCTTTCTCTCTCTCATTGCAGATATCTCTGACTCCAGAACTGCAGGAGAACAACTGTTATGATTAATATTATTATTATTAATAACAACCATACTAATTACTAATTCATTATTATATGAATTGATACTGTTATCAATAATAATCAATAACTCTTTACACTGTTATTGTTTTCATTATATATAGTCAGATCTGATACCTGATGATGCTCAAGTGTTCCCGGTCTCTCTTGACCTTAATAATATTCTGACTTTATTTCAATTACATATTAAATATCCATGCAACATTATTACATACCTTAAATGTAAATGGGCATCATGTTGAGTTATTGTGAATAAATCAAATCACTTGAGATTGATTTGATTTATAATAAATGTAAATGTTGTGTTTGATATATATCTTTATGTATAAATGTAACTATATTTATACTTGTATTTGATCTATTCAATTTACAAAGATACCATCCATGTAATGAATTCTTTCACAACTTTGGATCCAATGTTTCCTCTGTAAAGAGCAGCCTAGTCATGTTCTCATTCATTTAAACCTGTACTTATTCAAGTAACTTTAGAAATCAATTAATCTGGGTCAAGATCGTGGTTCCTGTTATAGAAGCTGTGGTCTTATTGGTATAAGTCCAGCGTGTATTCTGCAAATATCACATCCACGAAACCTGATTACTTCCTGATGAAATCTTGTTTTATTGAACATCAGTCATTCTATCACTGTATTTTAAGTATTTCAAAACAAAAAGCTTTATTCCTTGCCTCTTAATATTTGCATGTAGGGGATTGTAATGTAATCTGTGTCCACACTTTCACTTCATGTAGTTTCAGTTGTGTTTGTGTTGTTAAACGTTATTTTGTTTTCGTGTGCAGTTTTTTCTTTGTAATGTCACATCTCTGTGGTGTTAATAAAGTTATTCTTTGTTGACTACTTCCGCTTACTCATCACTCCCATTCAAAATGATTTCCTGTTCCCTGCTGCATCAAGTTACCGGTGACACACACAAAACCGGAAGTAAATATATTACCCTTTACGTAGATAGTAGCTGACATTGTGGTCCACTCTTATATAACCCGCTATATAATGGACTAACTGGTCCACTAACCAGTCCACACTATATAGTGAGTAGTGAGTAGTGAGTGGGTGATTTTGAACGACAAAAACATTGAAAAAACACGGTGTCATTGCAGAGTCATTACAATAGATCTTTTTGTGTAATTTGTCCAAAACTACTGTTTGTGAATAATCATGATAATGAAATAATATGTGTTGTGTGTCTCCCGAAAACACAATAATTAAAAACCCTCTGTACTTATTCAAGTCGATTAATCTGGGTTAGTCCAGCGTGTATTCTGCAAATATCACATCCATGAAGCCTGATTACTTCCTGGTGAGATCTTGTTTTATTGCACATCAGTCATTCTATCACTGTATTTTAGGTATTTCCTTCTTAATATTTGCATGTGGGGGATTGTAATGACTTTGCAATGACACTGTGTACGATTCATTTCTGTTGACTGAATAATCGATCAATCAAGTAATTGTTGAAGTTCCAAATGTAGATGTCATTTGGTCACAGATCCTGTAATGCTGGGGCTTTTATTTTGTGCAACAAGGTTACAGGAGGTACGCCTTTACGGCCTGACGCTTGACTCTTCCTGTGTGTGCTCTGCAGCTAGCTTAGCCTCGCACAGTGTCGGAATCGGTGGCGCTCCCGTCTCTCCATCATGAATACTGTTCTCTCCAGAGCCAACTCTCTGTTCGCCTTCTCTCTGAGCGTCATGGCGGCTCTAACGTTCGGCTGCTTCATCACCACCGCCTTCAAAGACAGAAGAGTTCCCGTGGACATCCACGTCTCCAAAGTCATGCTGTAAGAGCTGCAGCTGTTAGCACGGGGCTGTTAGCACAACACTGACATGTTTACTGAGGTTGTATATACGAGGAGCGTGTTCACTGAGAGGCTCTCTGCTTGAGGGACTGCAGCTGCAGCAGCAGCAGCCTGTCCCGGTGATAACCTGAGAACCGAGGGCAGCTCGTGCACTGATGGATCACACTGCTTCACTGAACACCTCCATCTCACAGCTGCCGATGGAGTCACGACACACAGGAAGAGGAAGTACAGAGTGTGTGGGACAGAATCAGCCACAGAGAGACAGAGAGCTGCCATTCTGTGTTCCTCGCATGACTGAAGTCAGTGTGTGATCGGTGCTCCTCTCCCTGTTGTGACAGTGGAAGCGTCGAGGTTTGAGGCTAAACACGGTTTGAAATCCACGTTTAAACTGTGGAAGCCTTTCCTCAGTGAAACACACACACACACACACACATTGTAAGCTCTCTGTCCAGATCGGGTCTCGATCAAAACGCCACATTTACACTTGTCTGATCTGGATTTGATTTGGGAGATAAGGGCTAAAACACACTGCGCAGTTTATTACAAATAAATCAACACTCCACAACAATCTCACTATGTTTGTGATCTAAATGTTGGCGAATCTGGCTCAGCTGTGATGAATAGAAATGTGGTTTTCAAACTGTGTCAAGTCTTCAACTGCATCCTCAGCAATCCTCAGGGACGCAGCGGGGACTGAAACGTTGAGACGTGGTTTCTAAAATGTTCACACAGCTAAATGTGTGGCCATATATGTCTCACCTCCGAATGTGGTCTTGAGTAAGGGGATGTCAAATGTGTCTCAGGTTTGTTTACACCTGAGCTCAGTGCTGTCCACTCGTGGTGACTTGAGACAGATATTTATAAGTATGTGACAACTGTCAGAACTATTGTCACAGAAATGGTCAGTTATTGAAATCCCAGTGAATTCCTGTCCGGTGGTCTCCAGCAGCTCTCTGCCGTCATTCTGCTGTTCTTCCTCATATCTGTCAGCTGCTGTTTCCTCCATCATCCTTATCTCCCTCCTCTCTCTCTCTCGTTTGAACAGGAAGAACGTCGATGACTTCACAGGACCCAGAGAGCGCAGTGATCTGGGGTTCATCACCTTTGACCTCTCGGCTAATATCCTTTAGACTCCTCAGAGATGTTTGGACTGTGATATGCATCATCATTAAGGCTCACAATGTTCCATCGGCTTGTTTCTTATATTCTTGAAACACTGACATTCTCCTCTGTCCATGCATATACTGGTATTTACTGTGTGAAGTAAACCTTTGGACACAAATACCAAAACAGAAAAAAACATCTGGTCGTTTCAGAATCTGTTTCCAGAACATCCAGACTGAGAGACTGAACATTTTTCATTTCAACTATTTCACTGAGGTCCATAAAAGGAAATACACCTGTAGGTTTTATAATGACCATGTCAGGCCCAGGTCCTGCTGGTGGGGTGATGGTGTCTGTGGTTGTGTCATGGTTTCTTAACTTTGCTACATCTGCAGCCAATTTTTGACTGGAACGTGAAACAGCTATTTCTCTATCTGTCTGCCGAGTACGCCTCAAAGAGTAATGTAAGTGCTATTTCTCTCTCTCTCTCTCTCTCACCTGATGTTCTTCAGATTAGGGCTGAAATGATAAATTGAATAATATTTTAAATGAATTTTGATAATTTAACACTCATCTGTGGTTTGGCTTGTAAAGATTTTAGGGAGTTAAATATTAGGTATTAAAATCAATCCTGAATTTCACTGACAACCAGTGAAGTGCAGCTAAAACCAGAGTGAGACAAAACACCACATTTGAGATTTTCATATTATTTTGGATCATTATAAAATTGTGGTCGGATGAGACTACCACTTGTCTGCCCCCCAAAACACACATAACGAACACAACTTGTCAAACACTAGTTCCATTAGTTTATTTATTTGCAGACACACAGTCAATGTCAGTGGGCGCGCCTGTAACCTGAAAGACATCAATCTCTGTGTCTGTGTGTGTCAGTCTCTGAATCAGGTGGTGCTTTGGGATAAGATCGTCCTTCGAGGTGAAAACACAAAGCTGAACCTCAGAGGCATGAAATCTAAATACTTCTTCTTTGATGATGGGAACGGACTCAGGTTAGAAAAATGCTCGCTTGCGCACACGTACACACAAAACTCTGTAAGTGCATTTTTATAATCATGATAAAACCCTGGTGCTCATGTCTGTCTCGTCTCCAGAGCCAACAAGAACATCACGCTGACGCTGTCATGGAATGTTGTTCCCAATGCTGGAATCCTGCCTCTTGTTGCTGGGAGTGGACACGTCAGCCTCCCCTTCCCAGAGTCGTACGAGACCACCAGGAGCTACTAGACTTATAGAAACACATACATCCATCCATCCATCCACATCAATACACACACACACACACACACACACACACACATACATACATACAAGAGCATTCAGGTGCAGACTGATGACTTACACACAATACACTGGTTTTTCTTAAAACTTGTAAATTAATTTTTGATTTGTAATAAAAGTTGAGACCGGAGCATCACTGTCTTTGTGAGGATTTTTTAAATTAACAAATCAAGTGAAATGTTGATAAAGGGTAATTTCATCTTAAAAAATAGAAAGCAGATGTCACTTACCTATATGCCTGTCTTCAGACCATTTAAAACAATCTGCACAAAATCTGTGCTGAGTGTCAAAGTGCTCTGAACTGTGGAGCTGGATTCATGCTCTGACCTGCCTGTGAGTCGCTGCTGCACTGCAGCTGCATGAATCAATAAAGAACTGGATACAGCTCTGTAACAGCTATGGCTTCCTAATGTGGCGTGATGGCCAAGTGGTAAGGCGTTGGTCTCGTAAACCAAAGATCATGGGTTCAATTCCCATTCATGCCTTTAAATTAGCCTTTATAGCGACTTGGGAACTGGACGGTTCAAGTCCAGCATGGACGGAAGTTGGACACTCCTGGGCACTGCCGAGGTGCCCTTGAGCAAGGCACCAAACCCCCCAATTGCTCCCCGGGCGCCTTCATGGCTGCCCACTGTTCCGTGTGTGGTCACTGTGTGGATTGTGTTCCGTGTGTGCTCTGTTCACACAGATGGGTTAAATACAGAGGTCAAATTTTTGCATGTTGTGTGTGTGGGACCAAAACTAGGAATCTTAATCTTAATTTGCCTGTGAGGGTGAAGGTTTGTCTCAGCACTGTGACGGACAGGCGACCTGTCCAACGTCCCCCACCAACATCAGCTGGGATTGGCTCCCATCTCTCAGAAAGGATAAGTGGTATAGATGACGAATGGACATTTTAATGAGTTTTCACACAATGTTAGAAAAAAATGTACAAGTACAATGTCAAATGCCTGATTGATTCACAATATTACTGAAACAAATAAACACAATATATACATGACCTCACTGTCCGTACACAGAACATTATACCACTTTGGTTCACTCAAGTCAACAAAAATAGATTCACTTTTCTATTTTCCAATATTTTTTACTTCCAAAAATAATGAACACAAGCAGCGCTCCCTCTGGTGTTCAGTACATTCGAGAAATTATAGAAGATGTTAGGAGCATGTGGACCTTTGAAGTTCTACAAAAATCTTTTCAGTGATTCAAGATATTTTAAAGGAATATTTTTACAAAATTAGGTGTTTGTAGTGATGTCAGTTCAGAAGATTGATACAGTTTAAGCCTTGCTTAGCACAAAGACTATTGGTCAAAGGGTGAACAGTAAAAAAAAAGAGGTTGTTTATAGGCTGCTCCAGAAAATCCTGATTTTAGGAGAAACTTAGTTTGGGTTTTTAAATCGTCGGTCATGTCAGGTCCGATGTTTCTGTCAGCAAACAGCAGCTTCGATGTTCTTCACATTCTGAAGAATAAAACACTAAAAAACTGAGAATGTTTGAAAAACGATTGAAAAAGCACTTTTCAACCCTCCACTCCAGTGGACCTCATGTCCGTGTGTTTGCTTTAGTCCAGACGCTGGATGAGCTTCTCCTCCATCATACAGTAGAGGGCGATGTGAGAAAGATCGGAGATGAAGGCGTCGCACGCTCGTCTGCTGACACTTTTACAACCTCTGAGATCCAGCAGAGTCAGAGAGGTGAGACGCTTCAGGTAGGAGAGACAGCCGTCTGTCAACTCGCTACAGCCTGGAGAGAGAAACACACACACACACACACAAACACACACAAACACACACAAACACACACTGTCAGGGAGGGATCTGGTCATTGAAAAGTGTCGGACACTGATCGGGCCAGTTGAAGCCATGAGCATCATTAAGAGATCCTATTGATTTAAGACCTGTTAATAAACACGGTAGAATTGAATACACATATATTATTCATGGATGATTTCCTTCCTACAACCTTTTTACACTATGTTAACATTAATACTTACATTTAACTGATGAAGTCAGAATTGTGTATTTGTAATGCTTTGAATTTGTTTTGCTACAAATGACTTGAAAAGGATAATAATGTTATAAAGCTCCTGCAGCTGAGTTCTGTATTGTACTCGACTCTTGAGTGAGACTATAGAGAGAGACAGATATAAAAAAAGAATCAATAGATGGATAAGAAATTATTACAAGGAGCCACTTTTGAGGGTGTATTGTTTTTCTGTTTGCCGCTGACTCCACCTTAAAGCTTCCTTTTTAATAATGACTTCATTTAATAATGCAAGTATCTAATTTAGTCGCAGTCTCTGAGCATAAGGAAGTGTGAGGGGGGCATGAAGCTCCTACTGTTCCACCAAAGAACCAACTGGATGATGTGATCAGTCATTGGCTAAACGACCACCTGATCGATCACTGGGAGCATGAGCTCAAACACCCACCTGCCAGTGTGAGCTCAGTGAGGTTGTTGCGTGTGTGTGTCCCGGCTGCCGCCAGCAGAGCAATGGACGAGTCTGTGATGTCTTTGCAGTGAGCCAGGTCCAACCTCTCCAGCTGAGGCATGTGGCGCTGCAGCAGCCTCAGGGTAGACTCACTGATGTCCAGACCGGACAGACGCAGTGTCACCATGTTCCGTAGTCTGCTGCGAGATGATTCTGAACCGGGAGGAGAGACCGAGATGAGGAAAGGGTCAATATGGAGGTTACAGGCTGCGTTCTTGGCAACATCACATCACACTTTTGGTGGCCAGGCATGTGTCTGGTGTCTGTGTGTGTGTACACTTGGGTACAGGGTGGGGGGCTCTTGGAGGATAGATTATCATGCATTACAGTACACGTGGACAGTACAAAAACGAAGGAGAGGCGTTGAAGTACACAATTGTCACTTTGGCTCCAGCGACCCTGTGTGCAGTTTTTCCTTTTTGGATTATTTGGCCAAAAAAGAAAAAGAAAAAGAAAAGAATTATGAACCAATTTTAATTTTGAAATATTGGGGTGGCTGTTGCTAACCGGAAGGCTGGTGGTTTGATCCCGGTCTTCCCCATTCTGAATGCAAAAATGTCCCTGGTTAAGATACTGAACCCCAAAATTGCCCCTTCTTATAGAGAAAGAGCTGACCATAGATGCACTGCATGAATGTGAGTGAATGCATGAATAAGTGAACTGAACTGTAGAGCGCTTTGAGTGGTCATTAAGACTACAAAGTGCTACATAAATAAGTATAGATTGACATGACATTTTGAGAATAAGACTGCAACATAAAATATGAAAAGATTGAAAGGGTCTGAATACTTCACAAATCAAATGTGCAGGGGTTGTGACAGACATGGTGAATCATTACTTTCATTGTAAAAACAGAACTCTGTCTGTCACGATGCACTGGAAGTTTGAGAATTTTCTTAGAGAAACTTGCTTTCGTCTGCGAAGTACAAGTTTCAACAGTCACTATAAACCTGCTCATCTCTGCTGCTACTGACCAGGGGGCAAGATGATCTCTTTAATCTGGGCGTCTTTAAGGCCTTCACACCAGCGCAGGTCCAGCAGCCGCAGGTAAGGCAGAGTGGGAGAGACCAACGCTGCGAGACATGACCACGACAGACCAGTCAACCTCAACTCCCTCAGACCTGTGAAACAGACAGATGGAGGATAAGGTGTGATAAAACATGTAGAAACTGCATGATCTGTGTGTGTGTGTGTTCTTGTCAGTGTGTGTTTGTACCTGGGAGCCTGGTGAGCAGGCAGTTGAGCTGTCTTTTGGCCAGGGGGGTCCAGGACAGGTCGAGAGAGGAGGGCTGGCGTTTGACGATTCCTGCCAGGGCCTGATTACTGAGCGGGCAGCAGCGGCTCACATCCACGTGGCTCCACAGACGCTTGTCACAGCTCCTGCACAGGACAACGAGACAAGACTATGTCACAGCTCAGATTCTTGTCTTCCAGGTGAGGACAAGGTCAGAGACATCCACACAATGTGCACGTTGATGCGTTTCTTCTGCAGGATAGAAGTGTGACATACCACTTGTACCAGGCCTTACACACAGTCATGCAGGCCAGCAGCTCGGCTCTGGTCAAGTATCTGAACACAGACACCCAAACCTCCTTCTCCCCGCCTCTCTCGTTACCCTCGTCCTTAAAGGACAGCACGGACAGCAGGGACGGAGGAGACAGGAAGGAGGATGCAGCAGCTTCCTGCTCCTCTGAAGACGACGCTGAGCAATCTCTAGTCCCTCTGTCACCATGGTTACCCCGCATACGTTGCCTAAGAGATAACAAAATATCAAATGAGGTTTTAGTTAAGAATGCCACATGCATACACACAAGTACATTCAAAGAAGCTGCTGTCTGTCGAGCTGAACAATTAATACAAATAATATTAAAGCCAACATATGGTCAGGTGAATATACAAATACATACATGTCACAACAAACTTATAGCATAGTGGTGCGACTAAGATGCCCCAGCTACATTCCCCAGACATCAGAAAACATGTTTGTTCCCAATAAAAATTTTAAAAAGTGTTCAGTGTTGAGCTCTACCTGCCAGGTCCTCTTAGTGTTACGCTGTCAGCTGTAGTGTCAGAGGTTTTAAGTCGTGAAGGTTTGGACAGAGCCGTCTTTCTCTGGATGAAGCCCTGCTGACCTGCACCCATCGCAGACGTCCTCGGACCCATGGCTGCTTCAAGCTTTGGAACTATTGAGCCTGAGCATATCGACAGTTCAGTTATGGAGCATGAAGAAATACTACACCTTATATAGTACATACTATAATCTAAATTGATCACACTGTAAATGTAGGGATTTTGAAGTCTTACCAGATTGTCTCTTGGCCTTGTGGGGGCGCTGTAGGGTCACAGTCAAGTAGGACCCACTCAGCAGGTCATCATTGAGATCAGACACCAGGAGGACCGGGGGTTCAGGGTCGGAATCCCAGCGTCCATCCTCTTCCCCGTCCTCCTCTTCCTCATCATCTTCCAGTGTGTCCATATCCTCCTCTTCAGGGTCAAACTCCTGCCCCTCACTGTCTTCATTCTCATCTTCATCATAGTCAGTCCTGCGCCTCCTCCTACGTCTGAGATGCTGTTGTTCTTTCTCTCCATCTTCACTGTCCTCCTCTTCATCATCATCGTCATCGTCGTCATCATCA